AATTTAAAAATAGCAAGTATCATGAATTTGATCTTTCCAAGGGTTAGAAACTTAAATAATAATAATTAATTTGATTCATACAGCATTTTTCTAGACACTCAAAGATGGCACCACCAGTCAACGTAGGTGAAGCGTCTTGCCCAAGGACACAACGACCAGGTTACAGGGCGGAATCGAACCGCCAACCTTCCGATCATTGACTGACCTGCTGTACCACCTGAGCAGCAGCCGCCCCGTAAAGTTTCTGGAAACTTTCTCTGCTGCACATGTGCACTGCTGAGCTCTGTGTTCAGTCCAGGACCAGAACGTTTCAAGTCCAGTTTACTCAAGTGTACTTAGCTTTATGACTCTTTAAGGAAAAATGAGTCCACACACATAGTTCATGAGTTAAATGAACAGGACCACGAGAAATAAGTAAAGTACACTAATGTGACTCAAGTAAGCACTGGTGTTACCTTTTAGAGTGTGATTTATTATTATAGCTGTACCATATAGCACAGAAGACATGTCTGTGCTGTTTCTACTTCCTTCCGTTATTATGTTGTTTCCATAAAGGTGCAGGACTTTATATTGCAGTCAAAAATGAGCCCACGGTGAGTAAAAATGTAACAGGAGCACAAAAAAACCACTTGAGGCTCAGAGGGTTGCTAAAGTAAACCTACACTGTGCAAACTGACATCAAACTTCAACCAAGTGATGTGACTATGAGATACACAGCTGGAGCATTACAAACAGTTTTTTGTTGTTGTTTGTTTTGGTAAAAATCTAATAAAATAAGCACTCAGTGAACATTTTACCCATATTTTCAGTTGTCAGCATTTTATGACTTATAAAAAAAACCCCAACAACTCCTCATTATGCTGATAAAAATCTTTCAAAGCATATTTTATACTTCTAAGAGACGAGGTTGGCAGGTAAACAGTCGCAGTGACACTCATCTGACACCTCTTCATATTGCCTGTAGTTAATAAGGACTCGCTTGCTTCACTTATGTGGTTAAGGCTCAGAAAGAAAAAGAGCAACAAGCAAACAAGCTACTTATAAAGACGTAATCAGATCCCGTCTCACCCATATCCATTTTCTTCAAGGTGAGACTCCGCTCTGAGTTTTACATACTGACGTCTGTCGACTCATGGATCTGTGTGTTCATCCACCATCAGGACCACTATCAGCTCAGAATAACACATTTTATATGAACCTGAGAGCTGAAGCTGCGGCTCTGAGCCCACAGCGAGTCTATACTTTGACATTTGAAAACAGCCAAAAGAGTGAATACGACTATAGTTAAAGAATAAGTATTGATACGTGACTTTCATCGAAATGTCACGGTGAATGTGGCAACACACCTCTCCATCTCGGGTAACAGTGGTGACATCAGCAGCGCCGCTTGACTGACAGCAGCACCGTTTGTTTGGACAGCTGAGAGCGCCGATAATTGGACTACGTTGCACACAGAATAACTCTTACGAGGCACCTGAAAAGGCAGGTCTGAATTCCCTTCGTGACGCGAGAAGACTATAATACGAATCAGGTCGAGCAAACAAGTCCGGCAGCGGTTTTTGAACGATTGACGCTGAAGTCTGACAGCCTGTAATTATTTATACATTAAGCTATGTAACCATGGGTTCCTATTGGGTGTGAATGTCAGAGGACACACTGAGAAGCACAATATGCCATTGTATAGTGGAATATAAAGAAACCTGAATAACCTTAAATCTACTCTTCAACTTGGCAGAATAAAGACTTACTAAGAAAAAAATAATACTAAAGCACCTTCTGTAAAGAGTTCATAAACTACAGTTTGTTTGCATAAATGGTTGACAAACTGTGCCTTTAAATAAGACAGT